CTCCTCACCCACGGGCCCCTCCTCCCCCGTCTCCCCCGTCGCCGCCGGCGTACGCCCCCGGCGCTGGCCCGGGTGGTGCCGCCGGCGGCGGGCCTTCTCGTCCCCGCGCGCGTGTGCTCCCTTCCCGGGGCAGGGAGGCGGCGGCGGTGCAGCTTGGCTTGGTTGCGGTCCGGCAGCCCTGCGGCGATGGCCGGCAGCAGGCGTGGTGTCGACGCCGCTCCTTGGCGGCGTGGTGGTGCTGGGTGGCCGACGTCGCGCCCCCGGCCCAGATCTAGGCCCGGCGGGCCCCATCCGGGTCCTAGCGGGCCGGCCCTTGGCGTGGCCTCGTTGTCTGCGGTGCGGTGAGGAGGAGCGACTTAGATTTGGGGCGGCGACGCCGACGACGTGCCGGCAGCAGCGCGAGGGCAGGAGCTTTACGGACCCATGAGGGCTCGGGTGGGCCTATGGGCCAACGGCCTGGTGTGCTCTTGCTATTGAATCCGGACGGCTACCGTCGCTGACGGTGGAGGTGGGGCCCTCGCACGTGCCGATGGTGCTGATGCCGTAGTCCCGGCTCTGATTCTTCGTCGTGCTGTCCTCACTTCACGGTGCCGTGGTGAGACAGCGTGGGGCCTCATGACCATGTTGGCGCAGGATGGTGGTTGGTTTGATGGCAGGCTCCGGAGCGCCCGAGGTGCGGGTTGGGATCGGGGGAAACCCCTGTCGGCATGGCCGACACCGGCGCGGTGGCGCCTGTGGGTGCCACCTGACCTCCCAGGAGGGCGTCGGGGGCTACCCTTCCTCTCGCCTCGTCGTGTACCGGGGAAAACCCTTGGCAGCAACGTCGTCATCGTCGCGATCCTTCTTGGAGGTGTTGATAGGTGCCGGCGCTTCGGAGTCTTGGAGCCTAGTGGAAGTTCCCGGTGGGCGCAGCAATCGCGATGCTTCTTCGTTTTTGTTGATCTGCCGTTGTCGGCATTTGTTTCTTTTGCTCTTTCTCTGTCGTTTTTTTGGACATGTCTGTGCTGCTTCCGCCCCAGCACCTATTCCTGTATGGTTCGGTTGGTTGCTTTATATACAAAGCGGGGGAAACCCTTTTTCGGTAACACATGTATGTACCATAAACAAAATAATGCAAACAATATTATTTCCGATGGACATACTTGATACTAATTTCAAAACCGCAACTTATGCAGTTTGGCATTTTGACTCAACGTTCATAGTCATATTCAAACAGAACAATATCTGGTAATCGGTTGAAAGTTCAAACATGAAGATCAAACATACAATTTATGGTTCTCGAGATAAAGGACATGAACAAATAAAGCATAAATAGTTGAAAGACGACTAGCCAAGACTTGGTCCTGGTGGCGTGGTCACGGCGGCGCTGAAAGCGACAGGCAGGGACGGCGGTGTTCATGGCGGCAGGTCCTCCGTTGTCCATAGCTGGCCGACGCGTCCTTTTGCAGATGTGGCTCCGACCCCAGCGTGCTCCGGGAGTTATGTCCCTCCAGCTCCTTCGGCTGGCCCGGATCTGTGTTCCCCTCAAGATCTTGGCTCGTCTGCGTTGTCGACCGTCGTCGCATCTCCTTGTCGGCTATCTTTGCCCTACCGCCTCCACAACCCCGTCCTTTCGCCAGATATATTGCTCACGTGCGACAGGGAGCGTGACTCCCTTTCCTATTTGTGGCTGAACCAGCAATCTGACCTCCTTTTCTCCAGATCCAGATATGGCAGCTTTGGGATTGCTCGAACTCAGGCCAAGGTGAAATCCCTGCTCTGCTTGGCAATGCTGGCAGTGGTGACACCCGTGAGTCTCTTCCCATTCCTGGAGGCGCTGGCATGGCCTTTATACGTAACCCTCTTTGAGCGTCGGGGAAAACCCTATATCCGGTTCAACATATCAGACGACAAAGATGTCTTGGCGTCGTTCACCTTGTTGAAGGCATTGTTTTGTTCAATCACGGCGTCTCCGGTGTTGGATTTGGAGATGTTGATCATCGTGTCTGGTTCAGGCTGCTCCTCTAGGCGCAGGCATCCGGGGCGCATTGCACGACTTCTTCAGTGCTTCTCCATGGCTTCCACCTTCGACCCGATGGGGTCTCGTGGCCCACTTGCCGATCTTTAGACGTTTAGGTGGGGTACATTGATCCTTTCAGGTTCAGATCCATGGACGTGCGGCGGAGGGCCTAGTGATGGTTGTGACATTTTGGTTCTCTAAGTTCTAGCTCATCGCCTTCCATAGCTTTAGTCCGGGCTAGGCGAGTTTAGTTGTGTTATTTTCTTTGTGTGGGCCGAGCATCTCACGTCCTCTTCTCCGGGCATCATGCTCATGCCTTTTTGCGTTCGTGCTATGTATTGTATCCTCTCCTGTACCTATTCTAACTTTTTCTATTAATGAAAGGATATATAAGAATTGCGTATTCACAGAAAAACGAAGAATACACCATGTGAGTAAGTCATATTATATGTTTGACCCAAAATAGAATTACCTTGGGCTTTCCATATATATCTTTTTTTAGGGGTGCTTACTATATATATCTTGTTTGAACATGGGAGCTTTAGCTCTATGAAGAAAAACACCAGCACACACACCTAAACTACCAGTAACAACCAAAAATCCTTTTTACCCAGACAACTAAAACTCTTCCACGCAAAGTGAGAGAAAAATCTTCCAAAAGAAAGGAAAGAAGAACGTTTTAGATGCAGTGAGTTTCTTTTCCTGAGTATTTTTGTTGAATTATCAATTTATCATGACCCCGTTTCTTTTTTCTTATTCTTAGTGAATAAAGAATTGACATGGTGCATTGATTTCTTTATAGAGAGACCAACACGATTGCACATGAGTTAATTGCACAGAAGTACCACAATTCGGGCATCACATGCAGATTGGTACCACGATTGCTAATTTTTGCGTGTCAGTATCAACATTGCTTAAGATTTTTGCAAATAGGTCTAAACTGCATATAAACACGTATTGACGGTGTATCTGACCAGCGGGGCCCGCCCGTCAGGTGCCAACGTGGCATGTTTTTTGCAGAAAACCCCCTTACGTTGTATGTAATCACAAAGATACCCAAATTTTTTGCGGGAAAAAGGCTCCATAAGAGAGGCTTTCTTTTTTTTCGTAATTTCCATCAACGAATCTGGACTGGTTTGAAATTTTCCGTCACTTGAAGAAATAAAGAAACGAAAAGAAAAATCTGGCGACGGCGGGAATCGATCCTGCGACCTGCGGAATACACCATGTGAGTAAGTCATATTATATGTTTGACCCAAAATAGAATTACCTTGGGCTTTCCATATATATCTTTTTTTAGGGGTGCTTACTATATATATCTTGTTTGAACATGGGAGCTTTAGCTCTATGAAGAAAAACACCAGCACACACACCTAAACTACCAGTAACAACCAAAAATCCTTTTTACCCAGACAACTAAAACTCTTCCACGCAAGGTGAGAGAAAAATCTTCCAAAAGAAAGGAAAGAAGAACGTTTTAGATGCAGTGAGTTTCTTTTCCTGAGTATTTTTGTTGAATTATCAATTTATCATGACCCCGTTTCTTTTTTCTTATTCTTAGTGAATAAAGAATTGACATGGTGCATTGATTTTTTTATAGAGAGACCAACACGATTGCACATGAGTTAATTGCACAGAAGTACCACAATTCGGGCATCACATGCAGATTGGTACCACGATTGCTAATTTTTGCGTGTCAGTATCAACATTGCTTAAGATTTTTGCAAATAGGTCTAAA